TATATTTTGGAAGAATAGGACATTTCGGGGTGAATTCCTGTAAGTTGATGGGAAGTTAGGGGGATATCATATATTTTTAGATGAATAGGAGAAATCAGGGTGAGTTCCAGATGTCATTGGGGATTTAGTGAGATACAATATTTTAGAAGAATAGACTAAATCAATCAGGGTGATTTCCAGGTATGTCACAGAGGATGTGTGTAGGGGGTATCATATGTTTCAGAGGGATAGGAGATGAAAGTGGTGAATCCCTGGTATGTCACACAGAATGTAAAGGGATATCATATACTTTAGGGATAGGAGATATAAGGGGTGAATCCCAGGTATATCAGGGGTGGCACTATGTCATAGATACCATGCCAAGTATAAGATGCATTATTACACACCAGTTGTAGTAGAATCACTAACGGATGGCAGAAATGAAAGGTGAATTCCAGGTATCGTTCATATACTGGGTGCGCTAAATCAAGGAGTATATGAAAGATGGCAGAATTTAGATTTGAAATGTCAAGTATAAGATGCCTTATATTGCAAAGTGTATGGAGATAAAATACACAGTATTTATAGAGTAGATATCAATGGTGAATTCAGGTATCACAGACATTTATACTGTCATTATATACTGTGGGTCACTATGTAACTGAGAGTATGCAACCAGAGTATGCATGCATTATACCACTTCAGATATTAGGAAGTAAGAGTCATTATATGCCATGTGGGATGACATAAATCAGATAACTGCCCCCTCCCCACCGCCCTCATTTAAAAATGAGATGCTAAACTATCTAATCTATAAATTCAAACTATTCGTGGAACATTCCACACAAATCACTGACCTTTTTATTGTATTGTATTCCAAATTTTCCCACTGAGAGTGCTTTACAGCTATGCACTGCAGTATTATTATTATTATTATTATACAGGATTGATAGAGCGCCAATAGTTTGTGCAGTGCTTTACAATATAAGGAATACATTACAGCAGAGCTGTAGCTAGCTCCTTTTGCGCCCGAGGCAAGTACAGAAAATTGTGCCCCCCAACAGACCTGTCCGGTACGTGACGTAATGCGCCCGCTTCCAGGATGGCGGCGCGCATGCGCTGGTGCCCGAATCCAAAATAGCATATACATTTGTTTCGTTTTATGAAACTAATGAAAACATTTTTAGTTTCCGTTCATTTCGTCCAAAACAAATTTTTAGCCTTTGCACATGTCTAGTAGTGTGTGTGGTGTGTGTGTGTGTGATGGGGGGCTTCGGGATAATGTCAGGGGTCCAAACAGACCCCTGACATTTCCCTTTTGAAATAGAAAAAGAGATTGAAGACACAAAATCTTCTGCTCATACAGGTGGGGGAGGGCAGCAGGGATTCGAGGATGAGCTGGAGCCTGTGCTGCTCCTCTTCTCCCTGCCGAGCCGTGGCTGTGTTGGCCGCCTGGAGCCCCTGTTGTCAATGGCGCCCTGTGCTCACCATGGCAATAAGGGCGAGGGGCGAAGCCAGGCCGGCCCTGGCTGCGCCCACTCTCAGCTTCAGCCTGAGGCGAGTGCCTCACTCGCCCCATGGTAGCTACAGCCCTGCATTACAGTTACAATACTAGTCAAGACAAGATGGTGAGGAGGTCCCTGCCCCTGAGAGCTTAGGTCTAAAAGATAATCAGCAGGTTTGATTTACTAAAGGAGTAGAATATGCTCACTTTGCCGAGTTAATTTTCACTTTGCAAGGGAATTTTCACTTAGCTTATTGAATAAGGTAAAGCTTTCTGATTTCAATAATCCGATCATGTACAAGTAACATTTGTTTTTCTATTTTCCTTGCAGTTTCCTTTAGTGACAACTGGCATCCCTTTGTAATATAAAAAAAACATATTGCATGACCTGTGATTTCTGTAATCTCCCCCTTAATATATGGCTCCCTGTATAACACTGCATCCTCCTTCATATGCAAGGCATGCAACTTAAAATGTCTTCATCAAACAGCACTCCTGTTTGATTTTGCTCATGATTTGTGAAGTATGATATTTACCATGATAGGTGGCAGCCCCTTGTGATATATGTATATGCCTGCCCTGTACTATCCCATGATAGATGGCATCCTTGATGTAGTGTTTTCTTTCTTGAGGGGGAAGTGTATCCCTCACAGGAAAAGATCATTTGGCTTAGTCTGTTACCCTACGGCTACAAACCCAAGATTTTTTCCCCCTGATTCCTATACTGCAAGGGGAATCATATTGTATGCTGTAGAGAAAACAGCATGAGAAAACACCTAGGAAAGCATCTAATAAAAGACTGAAAACCTCCTAATAGACCATTAACACTGTGCCAGTTTTCTCCATCCATATTTTTTGCACTGATCATGGTTAGCAGGATTCAGCAGACAATAATCTCTCTGCATTTAAAAAATACATCTGCTTGTACCAAAATGACTCTGGAAATCTATAATGACCCCAAAAAAATCATTCCTCAAATCTGGCCATTGCAATGCTGAGCCTTTTCTCTCTGATTTGCACATTTTGTTCAATCCATAGGATACTGCCTAAGAAACCCTTCCTCAAGGTACTTTCATATAGCAGATTCCTGCTTCTCACTGAATGTTCTTCTTCTATGACATTTCCCTGATAGACCAGAGTACCTTCATCCAACTCTAAAAAGTGCTTTAACCATGCCATGCCAACACACTATATTATTTTTAGTTGTAACATACCATCCCTTATTCTTTACTGACCCATCTTCACTGCAATGAATTAACTATTCCATTGCTAGTTGTATGCCTGTCTCAGGTTGGGATATTTTTGGAGTCCTGCCCTGAAACAAGCACACAGCACATTATGTTACTGTATATGTAAACCCATTACTAAAATCTTATACAAGTTTTAACAGTATAATGTTATCTTAAAAGTCATTTATTCTTTTCAAAGTCATTCAATATTCTTAACAGCAGTTTTTTATTGTTTTTAACAATATCTGGTGGTCCTGCCATGAAGGTCCTTAATCAGGCACTTTTAGTTATTGTGTCACAACGCCTAATGTCTCTCACCTATGCTCCTGCATTGTCACTCAGTCACATGGGCTCCCAATGGAGAATGCAAATGGTCGTTTTACACATTACACAGGTATGGTCCACTGTTGGCAGCAGGGGTGTCCCCAGACCCTCCGCCACCTGAGGTGGAGGGGTGGTGGCAGTGCACGAGATGATGGAGGGGGCGTTACCTCTGGCGTCCAGCTCACTGATGTCACTGATTGCCGCAGGCTGGGTGGGACGCCACCCACAGCGTCCCGCTCAGTTCCTGGCAACCACTGACTTTACTGGTTGCCACAAGCTAGGCAGGGATGCTGGCCAGAGCTTCCCAGGCTGCAAAGAGCTCTTAGCAACCTGAGATGCTCTGGCAGAAAAAGGGGGCAGCAGGCATACCTGCCCCCCCC